CCACATCATTTTTATTGCTCATAATCCTAATATCACTGTATAACAATCTGCTTTGAGATGACTTTGTAACCCTTTCCAGCCATATGTAAATTAACAATGCTTTATTGTAGCTCATTATAGAGCTCTTTTGTATGAGGCATGATTGCCATCTGGATATGCTTCTTGTCAAACTTTTCATTGTATTTTATCAATCAAAGTAATTCTGGGCCACACTTCTGAACTCGTTTCATAAATGGACTCCAGGTGTGCTATAGCTTTCACTTACTTTTTCCAACCGTCAGTTTCACAGGTTGAATGATGTATTCAATATGGTCAAACATTCTCTGAAAATATGTGTATCTTTAGTTATAGGAGACTGTGTTTGTTCATTGTGACTTACGTGAAGATATGACCATGTTTTATACTGGAATTAGACATAAATATAGAAAATTTGAAGTGGTTCACAAACTTTTTACTTTGACCGTATAATAGACATGAAAAATATTTAAATATTAATTATCTTAACCATTTTGGCAATTGCATTTTACTGAAGGAGAAAATGGAGGCTACATGAGTTCTACTGTATAGTCAGAGCAGAAAACCCAGTGTAGGCTATAATTATATTATATTGATACATTAACATAAGACAAGGTGAAGCACATTTGTTTTCAGGTGGTCTTGCTCTTGCTCTGAACAAGGATAAAAATCACGTGACTGCTTGCTGGTTATCAATGGTCAACTTCATGATCCTTGTATTTTTTCTTTCCTTTTCTAAATCAAACATTGTATTATAGCATCTTTTGCCTTTTGCCAAAAGACACCAGGAATAACTGGAGTCGACAACAGGAACTTGCAGGAATGACTCCTCCAAAGCAGCAGCTGGGAGGCTCTTTATTTAGGGCACCAGTTACAGGAGCAGCGTAGTTCTGACAAGAACACGCATGCACATAACTAGCCAGCACGCTCACACTCTCACCCCCACTCGTGGCCGAACGGCCGGACGAGACCCGAGTGAAACAACATCTCGGTAACGGTGGATCCACCAAACACAACCGAAACACTCCCAATATTCCCCAACAATACAGCACAGCATGTAATAACCTTAGAACGAACTTAACAAGGGTAAACACACATAATAAACACTTGAACTTAACACTAAATACACACTATGCGCCCAGGTGCACTATGGGAGAACCACCTACACCCGGAAATGTCGCTACAGTATTATTGATGGTCATTATCAAAGGTAAACTCAGTGTAGAAAGATAGGACTTACACTTATGTGGTTATTGTGGACAAACATGGGGATCTGCACCACAGCAGTTCAGCACCACAGCCACCATGCAGTTGGTGTGTCCTGGGCCTATTGCTACATTCCATTTACTTCAGATGTTGGAAGTCAGAACTGGGAAAGACTTTACACTCAAGTTAACCACGTTCCAGTAGGAGTCGGTAAGCCATTTAGCATTACCAGGGACCTCTTTCAAACAGCAGGGTTTCTTGTCTAACCAGACAACTTAATCAGATTTAAGGTACCCTAGTTTAAATTACCTTTATCTTCGTTCAATTACATATAGCTCAGACTACCTTAAATCCGACAAGTTATCCACCTAAGCAAGAAATCTGCTTTCTGAAACAGGCCCCAGTTCTAGCCAGGTTCATTGTTAGCCATGGTTAGTGATACCAGTTGATAACAACACATTACATGGTGTCACGGATCAACCCCGGTGATCCCCGACTGACGTCAGGAAGACCACGCTTCCGGGGATTCCTTGATCCTACCTTCTCCGTTTTGACAAGCTGTCAGCTTTATGCAGCTATACTGGGTAGTCTGGTTTCTCCGGTTTTCATTGCAACCACCTACCGCAAGCTGTTGCAGGTCGTTTCTAAATTAGGGAGGCTATTTTAGCCATCAGATCTTGCACCCTGATGCGAGATCTTCTAGAGTTATCTCTGAGTTTGAGCGTTTTCCTGTTTCTGGCTCCTCATGTTTTCTGACCGTTGTTCTGCTGTTTTGACCCCGATTTTCTGTTCAGCCCCTTCGATGCCCGACGTGAATCGCCTGACCCCCCCTTTACCCTGACTACGAGACCTGCCCAGCCCCCAAGATCGCACATCGCCCAACCCCAGCCTGCCCCACGACAACGATCCAGTCCGCTCCTTTGGTTTATTTTGAGCGATACGTTTGCCAGTACAACAATCTGGATTACTGACAACCTTCGTTTATTATTAAAGTCACTTCGCCTCTGTTTCCGCGACAGCGTCCTCTTTTCCACAACTAAAACCCTGACAACATGGTATTTTGTGCATACAAACATAGTAGTAACATGTGCACTGATAGTGGTTTTTACGCGTGTTGACCGATTTAATGATCCACAAATGGGACGTAAGTGCTAACAACAGTATACAACTACAGCTTTCACTTGTTGATAAAGGGTGAAATCTGACTTTCTGAGTCAGAACTCCAGCTTTAGGGGGCATTCCAGTTGACATTTCTTTCTAGGACTTCTAAGTTCTATTGAAACACAGCATAAGTTAGTTGTCCTTGGGTCCCGCCCCTGTTCAGAGAAGGGCCAGCCATGTACATTTTTTGTGCTTGACAAAGCTTGCATAATCACGCATGAAGATCGATTTGAAAGAAATCCATTCTGCTGGCAAATTATTTCTTCCCCATGATATTTTTATTTGTGAATCCTACTGAATATCAATATGTTTCAAAATACTTACTTGGTGCAGCTGTTGTTCTGTAGAGAAACCCAGCCCATACACTGTGTTGGCTCTACTATCAGCCCATTGTCCAAATTTCTGTGATGTCTTAGTGAAAGTCATGTTGGGTGAGATGGTGCTGTTGATAATGGCCTAGAAGACACATAGTTCAGGAATCAATCATTTAGTATATAATCAGCAATGGACAGTTGTATTGTTTGTCACTATACAACCTACAGTATATTTATTTACTTGAGGCTGTTATATCCTGTATAATGCTATAATAAATAATAATCATCTTGTTTACGTGCATTCTTTCCTTTTCTCACTACTCAAAATTGTAATAAATTGGTGAGTTTCATGGTAGGCTGTCCTAATAGCACTGTTGGTCACTCTCATCATTCACTCACAATGCTGCATCATTGTGTCTTCAATATTGGGGGGGGGGGTGATCCATTAAGTGACTGAGTCAAATCTGTCCTCTCACATTACCCTGTATGACGTCATACGTGTTACTTTGTATAGGCTGCCCGTCCGTTTCAGTACTGACTGCATGCTTCCGTTTATGACGTCTTCTGTTGACCTAAATATGGGCTACCTGTCTCATAGTATTCCCTGTATACATTCATTTATGCATGTACAACTGAAATCATTAAAAGGTTAAAAGGTTTTTGCCTTCAGTCAGTAGGTTTGATCAGAACTAAATTCTACCAACAAGTTTATTCATATTTTCAAAGCAAAATCCTGAAAAATATGGGGTGGAACAAACAACCCCTGTTTTGATTATTGGGTGGGATGTGTTCCACCCACCCCCCCATCAGTAATGCCTACGTGCTCACACCACTATATTGGTGGCTTCGATACTGCATCTGCTCAGTGTGAGTTTGCAGGTTCTCCTCATGTTACATGCCTATCCTTCCATAGCTCAAAGAAATGCAGCTAGGCCAGATCTGTGCATAGCTACATTACAAACATAGTATGCTCATTATAAGGGTAATTTGTAATAATTCAGACATCCCATACTAACAAAGTAGCTAAGAGAACAACCCCCATTCCATGCAGCGGCCAAGGTCAATAACGAACAAATGTTTATTCATAATGGATACAGCTCTCACCTTTGTTCCACCAACACTGATAATGCGATACACGTGTCTGTTGGCATCGTAGAAAAATGACACAGTGACGGCGTGCTTGCTGGCAGGGATCCAGTTGCGCTTGGTGGTTGGGTCGATTTGGAAGACATGTGCCCTGGTGCTAAAAATGGGCTGTTCCCTGTGGAAGTATCAGAACAACACTGAAAGTGGTGAGTAAATATGTCTGCACATGACTGTGTACACTTTACATATACTTTTAAAATTTGAATCAAATTTGAAATGAAAAACAGGATTAAAAATTTTTACTCTTTAACATTTATTACAGAAAGATGACTGGAAGATATATTTCATATTTTAATGATTTATTTATATACTAGCATTATCATATTGCTACCTTTTGAAATATTTACATTTGTAAGCTTGGAGCAAAACTCAAAAAATAAATAATATTGAAATCAAACCTCAGTATTTGGGCCACTGTGAAAGGTGAATTACTGTTAGTCGAGTCACATTTTTAGCAGTAACCCAATAGCTAAAAATGAAATGAGTTCAGTGCCGTCTATACCACAATGCTTGTATCTCGTTTACAAGGAGTCCAGCTGTATAAAAATTACTCCACGCCTGAAACAGTTCTTCTGGGTGGCCTTTTCAGGACTGAAGGAGTCAAATGTCCTGGGTTTAATTTGTTGATTCATTTCACCAATCCCTGCTTCCCTTTTTTGGCTCCTAGTAACATGAACAACATGAACAAAGCCCTGACTTTGCAGACTGACCCCATCTTGTTTGGTTTTCTTCACACACTCAAGGCAAGTCCGATTCCAAGGCAGAGGAAGGCCAGCATTCCAAATTTTATGGCTCAGATAGCTAGAAACCTAGGAATAGCAACCTGGGCCTTGATTTAAGGGTCCAAGCCTAGAGCAAGCTAGTACCCCTAGTCTAGGAGGGGGTGCACACTTAGAAACTGATGAGTGAAACAAAGAGTGCTGGTGTTTTAAGAACCCAACATGCACCCCCTCCTTCCTCACACACAGTACCTCGAAGAGAGAATCACTTTTTTAAGATTTGCCTGTTGTGTTTGTCTTGTGTAAGTGGTTACCTAGAAATTAGGAAACATTTAAATAAAGGTAACCATGTATCATAGTCATAATTTTTTGTTTGAACTAATTCAGAGACACCCCCCCCCCACACACACACATTGCTGAGGACTCAAAAATAAGGCATTCTGGTGCATTCCCTTTGTTCTTACATTCTTCCACTATCTCATCATCGAATGAATGAATATATGTGTTGTTAAACACATGTACCACGTTATTGTAATAAGCCCAAGTTAAGAATAAATTGTAATTTACAAATGTTTAATTTATACTGTTACACAAGGAAACTAATAGTAACTCATAAACCGAGGATTAAGATGTGCTGTTTGTAATGTGCTGTCTGTAATAATAGAACTTCTGTAAAACTTATCTAAAATTGTCAATGTCCAGTGATGTGTAACATAAACATGCGTGCTATGTACCAATGTGAATAACCAGTATGTGCAATGTAATTTAAATTAGGAATTAGGCTAATTAATGCCGATCTTACAATATGTAAACTTGTCATGTTTGGTAACAACGATGGGCCGAATGGCCTCCCCTCGTTTGTATAGTTCTTATGTTCTTATGTAACCTATCAAATTGACAGAGAAATTCTAATAAACCTGAATCTGATCATGGACTTTAGTTGAAAGTTGCGTCAGTTCAGTCATTAATTCATCGGGCCACCATACACATCTCTAGACAAGGAGTTCTGTCAGATGTCAATGATCAATATTCATGGACTATAGATCTCAGATTCCTCTGAGTGTGGAACAGAACTGAACGACTGAAGGTATCTGCGTGAAGAACAACTGCACAGAAAGGGGAGAAGAAACCGCAAACTACTGTACATAAACCATACATAAAGCCACCAGACGCAGTAAGCCGCTCCCAATCAAACTCCATCTCTCGATCATCTCACCACCTCTCCAACAAATTTCCAGAGATTCCATGCGCAACCACGTAAACAAACTTTCATTCATTTTAATCTTACACCTGCCCCATTCATCTGTTTTATAATTTGGGTCACGGTTTCAGTATTGAGGGATTGCTGTGTAGATCAGTATTTCCTTTTACAGGTCCCCATTTCAAATAAGTTACTGTCTTACTATATTCCATCCTGCTTATTGATTTTATTTTATTTTGTCTTTGTTTCATGTTAAGAGTAATGTCTATCATGTATTAATTGTAGTGTTAGAAATAATTGCATGCCTTTTATACATCTTAAATCTCAGTCTGAGCGAACGCTCATAATTAAACCACTTCATTGGTGCAGAACCGCCCTAAGCTTTTAAAAGTCCCAAGCATGTCCTGAAGTATCATGAGACACTCTCTAAAGCCGTGAGCAGAGTTTTGCTGTAGAGTTGCTTCATACCTGGTGAGAGTTACATTTGTGGGATGCATGTTCTAACACAGGTTTAGTAGTTATACTTTAATTCATGAATTCCATTCATATCCTGTAATTAAATCTTCCAGTAACGGAACAATTGGGACTTCCATAATAGTGTTTATTGGAGAAAAAACCATCCCAGCATAATTAATTCATTAATATTATTAGTTAATTAATAATTAATTTTCATACATATTGGTGGAGATACAGATTATTTGAGCTATTTTTTCATACAAGTCTGAATTTTTCATTTTTTCAGAATTACAGTATATCATAATTGATCAACAGTACTAAAATGTTTTCCCATGACCGATGTTTATGCAGTCTTCAAATGTTGAGCCACACACCACCCCAACTGATTTGGCCAACCTGAGGCTCAAACCTGGGTCCTTCAGCACATCATTTCAACTACAATTTTCTCCAACTGTTGGAGAGCTGATAGGGTCAGGTGGAATGTCTTGTCTCATCAGCAAGATGACCATCTTCCTTTGCTGTTGGGGGAGTTTCGTAAACTCCGCATTTCGGTAGTGGCACTCTCTGAGGAGTGGTCAGATCTCTGTAGGTGAATACACCTACTTTTGGTCTGGTTGCTCTGATGGCTGCCATACTCAGGGAGTAGCTGTTGCTGTGGCAGATCAGCTCTTCCCGATCATGTCTCATATCACTCCTTTCAACAAGCGTATTATGAGGTGCGGGCTGATTACTGATTTGGCCAACCTGAGGCTCAAACCTGGGTCCTTCAGCACATCATTTCAACTACAATTTTCTCCAACTTGCTTTTGTAAACTCTGCAACTGGATCTTCTCCTGACAGTTTCTCATATCTGTGACAACAAGGATAATGACTCTAGATTCAAACTGAGAGTAAATCAAATTCCATGGACAAAAAGAATGTTTGAAAAGATCAACATTTTGACTAATGTTTTGAGAATACGTACAAACTGATATAGTCAAGATGGCCACTGGGGCAACAGTATTGTACCAAATTTGCCAAGCCCCATCTGGGGAAAAAACACATGAGAACTGAGAGGTTACATTAATACAGATACAGGTTTCCCCCACTATCTGAAAGTAGAGTGTTCCTATGAAACTTTTTGTAAATCAAAATGGCTTAAAGTGAAGAAGCAATTAAATAGGAGTGTTCCCAGACCAAAAACAAAAACTACGAAATCATACCAAATAACACATAAAACCTAAAATAACAGTAACATATAGTAAACATTACATATAGTAACATATAGTTATGTTCTGGTATGACATTAAAGTGCATCAGGCCCTGCAAGCTGTCCTCCAGCTTGCAGGGGAAAAAAAAATTGGGGGGTGGTGGTGGGACTGGCACTCTAGTCACTGTAAAACATTTCACAGCAGCTATGTCCAAAGAGGCACGACACCCTTCTGCTCTCCGCAGCAGTAGCTCTGCTGCAGCCACCCACAGGAAGGCTGTACGAATCATGAAAGGGATTGGGGAAAGCCTTCGGGAGCCTTATCCTGAAAGAGTTGAAACTGTTGGAGAGCTGATAGGGTCAGGTGGAATGTCTTGTCTCTCCAGCAAGATGACCATCTTCCTTTGCTGTTGGGGGAGTTTCGCAAACTCTACATTTCGGTAGTGGCACTCTCTGAGGAGTGGTCAGATCTCTGTAGGTGAATACACCTACTTTTGGTCTGGTTGCTCTGATGGCTGCCATACTCAGGGAGTAGCTGTTGCTGTGGCAGATCAGCTCTTCCCGATCATGTCTCATATCACTCCTTTCAACAAGCGTATTATGAGGTGCAGACTAAGGATCTCCTTGGGTGTCTTGTCTGTTGTCTCAGTGTATGGTCCAACCGTAGTCAGTGATGTCTCGTTGAGGGAGACCTTTTACTCACAACTTCGCTCGGTGGTTGATGGGTGCCCACCAGGTGACAGTCTTCTGGTCATGGGTGACTTCAAAAGACCACTGGCACTGACAGGGCTGGCTTTGAGGATTGTGTCAGTCCCCATGGGTCTGAGGGTTGTGTTGGCATTACCCTCAATGGGTCCTTCTTAGAAAGTTACGTTCCAGGTCCTTGGGGTTCAAATTGCACCCCTATTCGTTGGCATACATAATTCAATGGTACCAAGCTCAAATTCAATGAACTAAAGTTAAGATACATTTATTAGTTAACTGTATGATGCATGCACAGCTTATGCAGTGAGATGCAGTTAAAGGGGTTGCGGCAGTGGGGGGGGGGGGGGCAGCGGAGGGGACTGGTCATATAATGCACATTCAGTCTAGCCGATCCCTTCACTGCCGCAATGTAAGCGCCATTTTAATTCCAATGTTGTAATAAAATTGGAAAACATGCATTATCACACCTTTCAGCTGCAAACATTGTTCAAGACTACAAATTACATGTCTAAATTGTACAGTTATATGCATTTGTCACACAGTACATTTGATCTATTGACAGAGTGTGCTGGACAAGCAGGCCTAGAGCACTTATCGCAGAATTTGCGTGTCTTCCTGTCAAACTCGTGCGGGCACAGGTGACAACGTCTCCTGGTTTAGCTGGTCACCTGGTGATGTTTCGTTTACAAGAGTGCAGGCCAAATGATCCATGTTATCTACGCCGCTCTTAGTTGCATTATAATGAAGGATGATCTCTGGTTTTTGTTTCGGACCATCAACAGCCTTGTTGTGATGTTTCACTAATACCACCTGAGGCCGAGCGTGAACAACTGTGGAACCGTCTG